TCACTATGGCTCAGTAACAGCATAGCATGAATGATGAAAAGAAATGTTGAAACCTCTGCTTATTCCCAAATGAATCTGATGTGATATAGCAACTTCACAGTTTCTCTATCTGAAAGTGGAGGTTTTATGAACATTCTAATCATTGTTAACTGACTCAGCAAGGGTGTAATACTGCAGCTCTGTAACAAGATAGATGCTGAAGTAGTTGCAAATGTCTTTGTTCAGAGCCCATTCTATTGTATACACAGTCTGCCTTCATTTATTGTATCAGATAAAGATAGTCAATTCATCAGTGCACTCTGAACCCACATATACCAGCTGCTAAGAATTAAATGAAAATTGTCAACAGTGTATCACTCAGAAATTGATGAAGTCATAAAGAGAATGATACAAACAATGAAGAATATTCTCTGTAAATTCTGCAATTATACACAAGACAACTGAAGCCATCTGCTATCACACATTGAGATTGTGATTAACAGCTGAAATTCTATCACAACAGACATAAACCCATTTTTTTTTCTGTATAAATACAATTTAGAAGTTTTGAACTTCCCTGAAAACCTCTGAGAAACCACATACATTCACAGTCTCATACAAGCAGCAGAGAACATTATGAGCAAGTTTAAGAAAGTTCATAAATGAGCAGAAGCTTTCATGATCAGCATTTAATAAAATTATGAGAATCAAACAAACATTAAAAAGAATTCTGCAACTCAATATCATGTAAAAAACAAGATCTGATTAAATTTCAAGAACATAAGAACAGACCATCTCTTGTGTACACTAGATTACCATCACATCAAATATAATGTGATGGAGGTGCTGAGTACACATGATTATCAACTCAACACTCTGCCTGGCATTCACAATGTCTTTCATGCAAACCTGCTTTAACCCGCGGCTGAAAATCCATTCCCCTCACAAAAAACCTCTGACTGACAGCCACCCATCATCATAAAAGAAGATAACAAACTTGAATGGGAGATTGAAGCAATTCTTGATGATAGAACCAACCACCACCACTGCGAATACCTTGTCAAATGAGTAGGATATGATCGCCCGACCTGGGAACCCGCATCTGCCATGAAGGACATCGCCGCCCTCGACATCTACAAGTCATCGCTCACCTCAGTAAGAAGGGATGATATGATGGGTTAACATCTGTTAATGATTAACTTATGCAATCAACCTCTTCTGCCTCACACTTCATGCTTGCATAGTTCCTCACACTCCACATCTGTGTAGTTCTAATAATTCTTCTGTGTAACCCTCAATGTTCTTCCACTCCATGCTTCACTGCAGAGTGGCTTTTGATATTCTTCCATTTCAATCTCCTCTTTATAAAAACCCTCTTTGTACAACCTTTTCTTCTGATCTCTTTTCTCTTTCTTTCCTTAATCAATTCATAACCTGTATTTAGAATAGTGTTAGATCATTAATCAATGTATGCTTGCTACATTTAAATTTTTAATTTACTTCTTACTCTTTAAACTCTTATCTGTGTTTAAAATGAGAGCTCTTCATTTCCCTCTCCTTGCTCATTTGTAGATGTAGTTGCATTCACACATGATGTAGAAGCTGGGATCACTGTGTTGATGCATTGACTTATAAAATACTCTGATTTGTTGCAATGAATGCAAATTTTTCAGATGATTCAGTTAGTAATTTCTTATCTGAAGAGATCAAATATTCTTGACTGTTCTGCATTCACATGAAAGGTTCAATTCATGGCATCTGCAGGGGTGGTTGGTATCCCCTCGTCTGGCCGCGAGGACACAATTAGCGTATTACTATTAGTGTAACAACTAAGCTGTTAGCTCTGAAGTACCAACCAATAATTTCTCATACTAAATTCTATGTAATCTGATTTGTTGATACCACTCCACTATCTCGCGTTTTCTGCTCTACGCGTTCTACAACCTTGGAATCTTCTCTCATCTTGATCCATATTCATATCCACCGTGGATGCGATCACCCTCTGGCCACCCTGGGATAGAAATATGACCTCTACAGGTGATTTCCAATTCTTCAATGCTTCTTTTAATCAGATTGACTGATTTATTTATTAGACAGTACAAAAACAGGTGTAAAGCGAAAGCGATCTGTCAGTGCACTTCTAGCAGACATTCCACCTCTGAAGAGTATTAGATTCAAATCCATGGAATCTCCTCATCGCTCTCCAACTGCCAATCTGCCCAATATTGATCCGCGGAATCCATACACCCTATTCTCTCTCTATATCTCAGAGTCTGATATTCAGAATATTGCCTGTGAATCCACCACAATT